GAGATTTCTCTCGTTTTCAAGTATGTCCTGGGTCCACAAATCATTGCATTGTTACATTAGGTACAACAAAATACAAAAACAATATTAATACACAATATATACAAAATTTAACATAGAACAGGCAGGAAATATATAATCAACCATGACATGTGCATTCTGTTTTGAGGTATGTAGAGAGGGATCTCTTAAATGACTTTAGGCTTAGGGAAGATTTTAAATTGTGCGGGAGGTCGTTCCACAATTGTGGTGCTCTGTAGGAGAAGGAGGATTGGGCCGCTTTCTTTTTGTATTGAGGTAGACTAAGTAAAGTGCTTGTACTGGATCGGAGCTTATAGAAAGTGGGAACAGCTGGGGAAAGCATTTTGTTCAGGTAGGGTGGGAGTTTCCCAGAAAAGCTCTTAAAAACAAGGCTGGAAAGATGAAGGGTGCGTCTGGATTCCAGCGATAGCCAGTTTAGTTCCTTTAGCATGTCACAATGATGGGTCCTGTAATTACATTGTAGCACAAATCGGCAGAACGAGTTATACAATGTGTTGAGTTTATTAATGTGGGATTGCGATGCAGATGCATATACTACATCCCCATAATCAATGATTGGCATCAGCATTTGCTGTACAATCTTTTCCTTTACTGTAGGGCTTAGGCAGGCTTTGTTTCTGTACAGAGCACCTAATTTTGGATAAAGTTTAGATGCAAGCTTTTCTATGTGCAGGCCAAAAGATAGATTGGGGTCTAATATCATACCCAAGTATTTGAAAGAGTGGACTGCGGTCAGTGTGCCATTTGAATTTGTTTTGATGGATAGGTGGGAATTGTGCAATTTGTGTAATTTAGGTACTGTTCCAAAGATCATTGTGACAGTTTTGTCAGTGTTCAGGAAGAGTTTGTTTTTTGAGATCCACTTTTCTACCTCTGTAAACTGGTCTTGGAGCAAAGCCTCAAGTTGCGGTAGATTGGATTTGCTCGCATAGATTACCGTGTCATCTGCGTACATGTGTGCATTTGAGGATTGGCAGACATTAGGCAGATCATTTATAAATAATGTAAATAGTAGGGGGCCGAGAATGGAACCCTGGGGAACACCACACGTGACTGGGAGAGGGAGGGAGTAACTGTCAGAAATGGACACATATTGCAAGCGATCCGATACATAGGATCGAAACCAGTTTAGCGAATGATCACCAATACCTGAGTTTTCGAGTTTGTGCAGTAGAATGTCGTGGTCTACTGTGTCAAAGGCCTTAGCAAAATCAAGGAAAATAGCTCCAGTTAGGGCTCCTTGTTCCATGCCAGTTTATGTCATTGCAAACTTTTAGGAGGGCAGTTGTAGTGGAGTTATTCTGGCGAAAGCCCGATTGATCAGGGGTCAGATAGTTTAATTGTTGGAAGTACTCACAAAGTTGCGTATGGACACAAGATTTTTGACAATACAGGGAGCAATGATATTGGGCGATAGTTAGAAACCAAAGTAGTGTCACCACTTTTATGGATAGGCACTACTCTCGCAGTCTTCCAAAGTTTGGGTATGTATCCAGACACCAAGGATTCGTTAATTAGAGTTGAGACGGGTTTAGCAATTGCCGGCGCACTGAGCTTCAACAGCATTGCTGGGATTTGATCAGGTCCGGACTGGTTTTTCATTTTTAGATTATTAAGATGTTTTTTAATGACACTAACAGGTACAGGTCTAAAATTAAACTTATCTATATTGGGCCTTTGCAAATTTAGTGGGGCCTGATCCACATTTGTAGTTTCAGGATGCGTGTCATTTATTAGCTTGGCAATCAGGGCAGTAGAGCATCTGACAAAATAATTTTTAAAGGCATTTGCTACATCTAAGGGAAGTTGCAGGGTTTGGTTACCCACTTTGACAGTGGAGGGTTGGGAGTGGATTGGGGGAGTTTGTAGTTTATTTATGACTTTCCAAAAGTTTCTAGGGTTTGAGATATTACTGTTCAGATTTTCATAGAAATATTGGGCCTTGGCCAGTTTTGTCTGTTTTGTGCATATATTTCGCCATTGTCTAAATGCACGGTGATCATTCATAGAGCCAGTACGCTTAAACTTTGACCACAAAGAATCCCGAAACTGGTTCATTTGGATGAGGTCAGCTGTGATCCAGTTCATATGTGCTCCTTTTACCCTCACCTTACGCATGCAGGGCATGCAAATTCCAAATTTGTAGGAGTTCAGACTGAAAGTATTCAACAGCACAGTCTAGATCTGGGATAATGTTTAATCTGTGCCATGAGAGATTCTTGATGTCATTTAAAAAGGATTCAAGATTAAATTTTTTGAAGGACCTAGTTATTTTAACCTTGGGAGAGGATTTAATAGCCTTTATTTTGCGCACGCAGTACACTAAACAGTGATCACTGAACGTGTTTGGGAGAACACCAACCTCCTGGATTCTATCAGGAGAAGTGGAGAGAATCCAATCTAGCAGGGTATGGTTATGGCTTTTAATGTTTATGCGAGTTGGGGAGGAGATTAATTGTGTTAGCTGCAAAGTCTTAAACAGCGTGCAAGAACTATTATTTTTAGGGTTCAGCCAATCAATATTAAAATCTCCAAAGACCAACAGTTCACTTTTTGGGTTTTGAGCTATGGTTTCACTAAGGAGATGGGCTATGTCAGAAAGGGAATGCACAGGGGAGCTAGGTGGGCGGTAGATTCCTGCAACAATGATTGATTTACTGCATGGGATCTCAATTGTGCCAGAAAGGAAATCAAAGATGGCAGGAGGACTAAGGTTTTGTAAAGGGGTAAACTTTATGGAATTGTCAACATAAATAACAATGCCTCCTAGTCTCTTTGCTCTGTCATTTCTAAAACATGAATAACCCTATATTGCAATGGCGGTGTCTGGTATTTTAGCCGTTAACCATGATTCTGAGAGCACAATGATTTTTGGTTTGTAATGGGAACACCAGGCTATTAATAAAATAATAATAATAATATTATTATTAAAGCTACAATTTCTGGGGAAATTGTGTGAAGTGTTCTTGCCTCCACCAGTAGTCTACAACTGGAGTGGGCGGAGTAACTGTTATCATTTATATAGCACATTTAATTGCAACGTTGTTGCACAGTTACATTAAACCATACATTTATAAAAACATTAGCAGGTGTTCAAAAGGCCCTGTCTATGACATCACTTGCTGCTGCAGCCTGGCACAGGTCAGAGTATTTTGGCAGTTGCCATCTTCAAACGGTTGTATTTTAAAAACTATACATCCTACAGCGAAGAGCTTTATATTGTGAGAATCACAAGACCCAGACCTACATTTTGATGCATAGTATGTCTCTGAAGTATTAAAAATGAAGGCACAGTCACAGTTTAGAAATTGCACTTCAAATGTGAGCTTTGTAGAGTGAAGTTTCAATGAATGTCAATGGTCGGCGTTAGTTGCAAACAAATGATTATATTGTGAAAACTATCAGGACTATGGCTTAGCCATTGACATGTTTAGTGGCAGCAGGGATAGCTGAACGTTTTGATATAAGATTTGTGTAGGTGGGCCTGAAAATAAGGGAGTGGTGGCAGTTTAGAAATCATGTCCTGATTTTTCAGCTTTTGCCAGCTCCCACTCTAGCTTTGCCATTCATTCCTATGGGACAAATTTCGCCACAAGAACGACGATATTCCGTGAACCATTCGGCGAAACGTTCCACAAAGTAATAGCAATCCGATCGGGAACAATCTGCACGTTTTGGTAAATTTTTGTCTATGTAGTGTAAAAACTGTGGGAGGAGTTAGGGTGGCAAATTTGGCTATAATAAGAATAATAATATATATGTGAGATAACAATAAATGGTCTTGCTATGCAAGAACACTTAATAAGGCACTGTGTCACTATTAGTGAATAACATATTTTTATTATAACAATAATAATAATAATATAAAGTGTTGCTATAAGGTACTGTGTCCCTATTAGTGAATAACATATTATTATTATTATTATTATTATTATTATGTTATTCACTAATAGGGACACAGTACCTTTTATTATTATTATTATCATTATTATTATATGTTCACTAATAGGGACACAGTGCCTTATATTATTATTATTGTTATAATAATAATAATAATAATAATGTTATTCACTAATAGTGACACAGTGCCTTATATTATTATTATTATTATTATATAAGGCACTGTGTCACTATTAGTGAATAACATTATTATTATAACAATAATAATAATAATATAAGGCACTGTGTCCCTATTAGTGAACATATAATAATAATAATAATGATGATAATAATAATAATAATAAAAGGTACTGTGTCCCTGTTAGTGAATAACATAATAATAATATAATAATAATAATATAAAGTGTTGCTATAAGGCACTGTGTCCCTATTAGTGAATAACATATAATCTAATAATAAAAAAGGTACTGTGTCCCTGTTAGTGAATAACATATAATAATAATAATAATAATATGAGGCACTGTGTCCCTATTAGTGAATAACATAATAATAATAATAATAATAATAATAATAATATAAAGTGTTGCGATTAGTCACTGTGTCCCTATTAGTGAATAACCCTATATATAATAATAATAATAATAATAATAATAATAATATAAAGTGTTGCGATTAGTCACTGTGTCCCTATTAGTGAATAACCCTATATATAATAATAATAATAATAATAATAATAATAATATTATAAGGCACTGTGTCCCTATGTAACCTACAATCCCTGCCTGGTCCATCCCCTCACAGCACAGCTGGCCCCTGACTGAAACCAGACACTGTCCCTCCCATCCCCAAATCTCCCCCCTCTCAGCCCAGGCCGCTCCCTGCCCTCACCCGGTCCCTTTAACCGAGACGCCTACGGCTCCCCGAAGGACCCAAACTACATGACCGCGGTGGCATCGCGTTCCCGAGTCCCCGCGGCCGATCTGTCACGCGAGCCGCGATTGGAGGGCCGGCGCCGCGCCGACTGTAAGCCGCGCTGTGATTGGCGGAGTGCCCCAGCGGCATGTGTGAGAGTGCAGGGCTTTGTATACAGTGGCTGGAGCTCGGCCCTTTAACAATGGATAGTGTGAGCCAGGCGGACTGATGGACTGGGGCAGCTCGCAGACTGGGGGCTACGACATGAGCTGGGGGTCTTGGAGCTCATCACTGACTCAGGTCTGTGGGGGGAGCTGGGGGGCTACATGGGGCTTGTTTAGGGAACTTCTATGGGGAGGGGGGCTACAGGAGAGACCCCCACATATATAAACTATGTGTGACCCTGATTACCCCCTCCTAGTACTCACTGCAAGCCTGGCCTGCACCCATATTTAATTTAATATATACCTCCTGTGCAGCTATAGTGTATATTGGATCACCACCACAATGTGTATATAATATTATTACTAACATCTTAACTTGCATCCCACTAAATCAGCCCCCAGTATGTTTTACCCCCTATTTTGTAACAAAAAAAAACCAAACAAAAATAAATAAAACATGGATGGATGGATACAGTATCTATTATTTAATTTCTGTTGGTTGATCTTGGTTCTAAACATTCTCTAACTCTCTCTTTTTATGACAACTTGGAGTAGGGGGGTTAGAGATTTTGGTGTTGTGTCTGATGAAATATATTATTTGGCATTTCAACATTTTTGCTTTAGTTAAAAAAAAATTTTTAAAAAAATACTTAATTCTTAAACCATATAAATGCATTACTGTGAGTAATTACATTTTAGATTATAGAGAGAAGGACATTGATTTTTTTTTTTTTTGTCAATTTTTTTATCCTTGTAAGGCAATTGCAGAAACATGTAGATTTGTAGAAATTCCACTTTTTTTTCTTCTTTTTTTTTTTTTTAATTTGAATCGATTACAGGTGGGCTGAGTAAGGTCTGGACATCCCCCCCCCCCTGTTTGAGACTGAAGGGTTAATCCATTGGTTGCCTTTAATTAAGTGCAAATAAGGATAGGGGTAGGGTTTTTGTAAGATCACATTTGAGGAACTCTTTGTATGTAAACTGAAGCTGAAGTACTTGAATTTAGCTCCCTTGAGTAAACCTGCTCATTCCAACTTACCTTTTATGTTCCAGGAGTGACTTTGGCTGCTCTCAACCCTCTGATCGCCCAAGAAATGGAATTGGAGGGGCTATGGTGGAAGGGGCAGCTAGCTGCTGATATCCATCAGACACTGAGATATAAAGTAAGTTTGTGTCCTATTACCTGCACGTCTGTCTTGTCGCAGAGAATTAATCATTTAGATACATTGCCTGTGTGTGGTCTATGTTTACATTCATATAGAATGGCACCCTCTCTTCTCACAGGGAGATATGCAGTATGTCCTGTCTTACTGAAATGGCTTATGGTTGCATGAATATATTTTGTATATTTTCCTCTCCTGTATTTAGAATTTCACATTTTGGATTTGAATTCCATTTCCTAAATGCTGATGTTGATGATCAATATTTTAGTAGCCTCTGTGTTTTGGCTGTTGAAACAAAAATATAGATCTCCTGTGTTTTTGATTTGACTATCAGAGTTGATCTTTCTTTTTCTAATAATTGTTGTCATTGTGTATTATTTTTATTTAATTTTTTTTTTATTTCAAGTCATTTATTTTTTTTGTTTATTTGACTTTCTTCCTACTAAAGTCAAATTCTGGCATGGGAGGTAATAACCCAAGTTGATCCTCCTGTAAGGGATATTGCCCCAGGGTTGGGTCTTGGTGTCTTATTGTCCTGTGGGTCTCCTGCCTGTGCTCTGCTTAGACCAGCTGGTAGTTTCCCAATTCTCCCATTTCACACTGCAGTGTTAAGTAGCATGGTGTCTGCAGATCCCCCAGGTCATATCTGTTTGAAAATACTTTCTGAGCAGGCAGAGGGGTGCTGCAGCAGCAAATAGATTTTCACGGTTTTAAATCCTTTTGTTAGTTAACAGCAGGCAAGGACATCCCTCATAACTGCAAACTGGCCAGCATTTCAAACAGACATATTCCTTTTGTTTTTGCAAAGGTCCTTTTTATTGAGCGTAGTGTGGATTTTCACTTTAATCAAAGGCTGAAAACAGATCACTTAGAAGTTTGTGAGATTTGTAACCTATAGCTGCTTGCATCATTTAAGTTTGTTCGTTCGTTGTGTTTTTTGTTTTTTTGTCACCTCCCTTTTTAATTCTAACGGCCACTCAACTGAGTGGATTATATTGCCATGGCAACCCACATTAATTATTTTTGATGAATTGTGGTTTCTTACACGCCAAGCATGTCTATAATCTGGACAACTGAATTGCTGCTCTTGGCATATTACCTACATAATAAATGATTAGTTGTGTGAGGTTTTATTTTATTCTTTTGTAGCAAAGAACATTGTTTTTTTAATAACTCCTATTTAATGAATTGTTGCTGGACTGTTTTAGTGCTCCCAAATATCTGTGCTTTTTAAACAACATTTTGTTAAAAGGATTTTAGTGTAATTGTAGGTTTTTTTTGTTTGTTTTTTTTTTTTTTTTTCTAAATTGCACACTATTAAACAATTTGAAATTAATAAATGCATATTTATTTTTCATGCACTCATATGCTTGTCTGTAGAGCTACATACTTCTTTATGAATTCACTGTCACAAAATCCATTGAGATTGCACGTTCTCTCTCAAATCTTTTTTTGGAATCCACTTGCTCTTTCTATAAATTAATGTTTGCATAGTCGAAAAGGAACATTAAGGTACATTAATGGATCACCTTAAAATCAGAGCGTATGTTCTTGAAACATGTCATATTTTGCAGAATTTCAATGTGATAGAAATGTGATTTTTATTTTTACTTTTTTCCAATTTTGCTATTAATTTCTCAACTCTACAAAAACTTCAAGTTTAGTGAATAATCCCCAGCTGTCAATTCATTACTTATTCACTGCTTGGTGAATTACACCCCCATGCCTATTGTAGAACAAGGGAGAATAGGTTTTACAATGGGTGGAGTGGAACATCCAGCTGTGATTGAGCTGAAAGTTGCAGAACAATCAGGCAGCGGTTTAAGTTTATGCTAAAATAGAGTAGTATGCAACACTTCAAAGTCTTCTAATCTTCCTCCAGAGACTTGGCTGGGATGATGTGAATTGCAATCCTGAATAAATTGTATTAAATATCTGAAGGGGTAATAGATCATGATGATGTAACAGTGTATGACTGCAATACAGTATGTAATGGACTGGTAGACATTATTTGGTTTACAGCAGTCTCTTCTAGCGGAATTTGATCTTTTTAGTTTGTTTTCGAACTGAGCTGTTTAAAATGCCCAGCTATTTCAAACTCAAAATCTCACAATTCTTGTTTTTAAAGTTCCAAAATCATTTTATACATGGTTTATTATTTCTTTTATTCCATTTTGATGGACCAGCTCTGATAAAGGAATATAATTGTTGAGACATTTGCTTTTCCTCAATGTGACTGAATGGAATGTGCATTTTAATTTGAGGGACATTCAACCTATATCAAGTCTATTCCTTACAGTGTGAATGTCCAATCTTACACCAATGAATTAAAAAGGGGAGACTGAGAATTTTTACAATTTTGGCTATTTTGTTGTAAAATATGAAATTCACATTGAATTCCTGAAACATCAAATTTTTGTGAATATTTATGATATTCTCTCCAACTGGGTATTGTAGAGAACTGACAATAAAGACAAAGTTTAAGCCCAAACATTAATTTTTTTTCACTTCATCTATTTTGGCTACTTTGGTTCACAATGTTTGCAATTCCCTTGTCAATTCTTCCCAATTCACATTCCCCTGGATGTTTTCACTTTACTGATGTTGTAAAATTCCTAGTGTAATCATAGCAATGTTTCCTAATCTTTTGTGCTATCTCTGTTTACTTAGGAACTAAGGCTTCCTTCCTACAAAGGGCAGTCTCCGCAGCTGACCCTAAGACGCTACTTTGCAGACCTGATCGCTATCGTCAGTAATCGTTTTAAGCTCTGCCCAACAGCCCGACACCTTGCGGTTTACCTGCTGGATCTGTTTATGGACCGATATGACATTTCTATCCAACAGCTACATATTGTGGCTTTATCCTGCTTGCTTTTAGCAAGTAAGTATTATTATGTGAAGTTAAATGCAACTTTTCTAAAATGCTGTTTGAACTGTAATATGACAATTATTATTTTTTTAATATAATTTTCTTTTGATATCGAACAGGGGAAAGAAATGTAACCTTAATTCTTATTTTTTTCACGTCTTTTAATTTTGGTGTGGTGGTGCTTTTGTGGATATCTTTAATTACTTCCACAAAATTCTGTTTTAATCACCTCCCAATAAAGTCAGGTGTGTTTATAAATCATGCCTTTTTTTTGTTTTTGGGTTCAAGGTGTGATTTCTTATAGCAGCCCTCAAGTTTGTATACTAATCACACCTTTAAAGGGGCACTCCAAAAACCAGCTTGGATGTAAAAGGCTAGATTTTCAGTATGTTTAGCAGGGTGTGTGTATAATTTTTATTTATTTTTTTTCCTTCTAATTCACTTTCTAAATAATGCATAAAGTGTGTGAATTGCCGCTTGGGATGTATCTTTTCAATATTGACATTTTGTGCATCACAGGGCTTACCTTGTTTTTTTGTTTTTTTGTTTTGTTTTTTAAACCATATTATCCATGCGTTGCAAGTTACTTGCTGCTGTGAGCCTGGGTAATCGCCAACCCGCTGAAGCCGACTAGCAATTTTGAGGCATGACTTGTACTATTTGCAAGTTACCAGACTCTGTAAAACTGTATTGCAGTGTGTGTGTCTTGTTTTTAATAGAAATTGTGTACTTGGTGAGCAAAGCTACAAATATTCATTATTTTTATTTTAATTGTTTTTTTTTTTATTTTAGTTATAAGTTTTTAAAACACTGCTATTGAGTTATGTAATCTTTCAACTTTCTTATCCAAACCTAATTACTTCTAAGTGGCAGATTTCCTAATCCACAGCGGCTAATGATATTTGCACTAGAGATGTTAATGAACTACATTTCTAATAACTGTTATGGGAAAAGACGCTGCCAAATGCTCAGAGTGCCAAGATTGTCCTCTGTGTCTCTGCTGCTTTAATAACTTATCACATGACTAATACGTAAGAAATGTCTGAAAACGCGTATATGACACAGGGTAGGGATTGGCACCTCTATTCTTTGAGTTTCAGAATGAATCACTTTATTTCTTCGTTTGCCAGAGTGAGACTGCTCCTAGTTTACTTGGAGTGCTCAGAAATCTAAGAGATATTCAGCATTGGCAACCTACTGACCTGCTTTTTAACCAAGTACCCTATAAGGCTATTCAGTAAATTGTAACTTGTCAGAAGTTCAGCGAGTTCAAGTTTTGGGCCTCAATAACTGAATTGAAAAACTTTAATCCACGTTTACTATGTTTTATGTTTAGCTTTTTGGTCTGAAATTTTAAATTCACTTTGAATTTCCCAAAAACTCAGTTGAGTGAAAAACCGTGTTTAAAATTTCACTTTAATTCTTTTTAAAGATCTGATTTCAAATTGTTTTATTGGATCCATGTGCTTGTTAGAAGGGCTGAGTCCTTTTGAATACAGGGTGGTGTCGCCTCCAACTGTGTAGCTATTCTTGTTGATTTTACTTTCTAATTAAAAGACCTATTTTGTTTTGCCAGTTCGTATCCCTCCCCTCTACATTAACATAGCTCATATTTTTATGACCATTAAGTGGCGTTAATTTAAAACTGCATTTTGGTCACTAAGACGCACTGTTATCTTTCGCTGTGTGTTGCATATATTTGAATAAAATTTATTGCAAAACCCACACAGCATATTAATCTTATTGAGATGGCTTTTGTTTAGCCAATTAATGCATTCGAATGTTGGAGCAATGAATATTCAGAGTAATAGGATAGAATTGGTTTCCTTATAGAATTTAGCTAGATTGTTTCTGTAAAGGTCACATGGAGGTTGGCATCCTTAAGAAGTGCTTCACTGTTTGCACTTAAACAAATGTCAAACCTTTGATGGAAAATGGCTTTCTCCATACTGTTAGGAGAAACTCCATGGCTTTGGTAAAAACTTCACAACAATTTGTTTCACAGCGGAAAGTCAAAAAAGGGAATTGTGAAACATTTAGACGACAAAACTAAATTAAGGGGACCTCCAACACTGCTAAATTTGCAGATATTAGGATTTATTCAATTTTATAAATAAAAAAGATTCTAAATGTTATCAGATGTAAGTGATGGACTGTAAAGAAGCAGCAGACAGAGGAGTCCCCTAGCCCCATAACCTATAAAAAGACTGTTCTCTAGCTTTAAAACCTCTTCATTGTTAAAGCTTAAAATAACATAATTAAATAATGTAACTAGTACTAGAATGGCTGGGCGAGAGGTTGCACAGTTCCTGATTCGTTAATCGTTATCCTTTATTCCATGTAATCCAATTCTACCATTTATTTATTTATATGATATGTATGATATATAAACAAATAGGTTCTTTGTTAAAAGGACTCTCCAGTGCCAAGAAAACATATGTTTTCCTGGCACTGCAGGAGCCTGCAGTGCCTCTCTCCCTCCTACCCCCCCATCCCATGTTGCTGAAGGGGTTAAAACCTCTTTAGTGACTTACCTGAATCCAGCGCCGATGTTCTCAGCGCTGGGTCAGGCTCTGCCCACGCTCCTCCCCCCACCGAAGTCAGCCGGCGGGGGAGACCTAATGCACATACACAGCAATGGCCGCGCACGCGCATTAGACCTCCCCATAGGAAAGCATTATTTAATGCTTTCCAATGGGGATTCCGGCGACGCTGGAGGTCCTCATGCAAAGCGTGAGGTCGTTTAACCCCTTAAGGACCAAACTTCTGGAATAAAAGGGAATCATGACATGTCACACGTCATGTGTCCTTAAGGGGTTAAAACACTTTTTATATTCTAAGAACACGGAAGTCCCTCTAGTGGATGTCTGACAGCCACTAGAGGAGGACTTAACCCTGCAAGGTAATTATTGCAGTTTATAAAAACTGCAATAATTACACTTGCAGGCTTAAGGGTGGTGGGCATTTGCACCCAGACCACTCCAATGGGCAGAAGTGGTTTGGGTGCCTGGAGTGTCCATTTAGGGAATAATTCTGATATACTGATATACTGTGCCTACTGTCATCCAGTATAAGACTATTGCCGCTTCCACTACAGAACCCGTAACCCAACCACTGACTACCCACGGTGCAGTTTAGCCGGATGACCCCTAGCTGCTCTAGAACCAAGTTGTAAACTAGAAGAAAAAAAAACCATCATAATAATAATAATAATAATAATAATAATAATAATAATAATAATAATAATAATAATAAATATATATTTATTATTATTATTATTATTATTATTATTATTATGATGGGTTTTTTTATATTTTTTTATTCTAGTTTACAACTTGGTTCTAGAGCAGCTAGGGGTCATCCGGCTAAACTGCAGCGTGGGTAGTCAGTGGTTGGGTTACGGGTTCTGTAGTGGAAGCGGCAATAGTCTTATACTGGATGACAGATGTAGTTTATATCTTCATCACCTTAGACAGGCCATTACGGCTATAACTACATATGATACTGCATAAAGGTGGAGGGGGTGGTGGGAGATATCATTTAGGTTGAATAACCTATCTAGCTGAGAGTGGACAGGGCGTAAGTACCCTATACTAGCTGTGCATTTAAACAAAAGTGGAACATAACACAAAAGAAACTGTAAAATAAACATGGTGTGTGTGCACATTGTGCCCAATTGAGTGACTCAGGTAGTGTCCACTGCAGGAGGGTCTAGATGGGGCTTCCTGGGAATGAACGGTGCCACCGCTGCCGGATTCAACCTATGGGGTGTTTGCTCTGCTTCACTGGGCCCAGTGTTTAACGCAATGTCCTGAGGTATGTTTAGGGAGGTCAGCTGCGTCTTAGCATTGGCCATATTGTGTATGAGGTTTGTCTACATCCTTGAGGACCAGGAGCATATGGGCGGTGCGCCATCTTTATTGAATTTGGCAGAGTTTTGACGGGAGCTAGTTCGCGCCTCTACGCTATGTGCCACCTGAGAGGTCCACAAAGAAAGTGAGATACATCAATTATCTCTTTTGAATACAATGTAACAAAATGCATCTTCCAATTCCTTACTGTTTCACAAACACCTTGTAACCCTTGTCTGTTGTCATGCTGTATCAAAGAACAGATTGTGTGGGGTTTTGTTCTTTTCTTTTTTTTTAATTTAGGGCAAAACAAAGATTGTCACAAAGAATATGGTTAGTAGGTCAAAAGCAATTTTAAAGAGACACTATAGTCACCTGAACAACTTTAGCTTAATGAAGCAGTTTTGGTGTATAGAACATGCCCCTGCAGCCTCACTGCTCAATCCTCTGCCATTTAGGAGTTAAATCCCTTTGTTTATGAACCCTAGTCACACCTCCCTGCATGTGACTTGCACAGCCTTCCATAAACACTTCCTGTAAAGAGAGCCCTATTTAGGCTTTCTTTATTGCAAGTTCTGTTTAATTAAGATTTTCTTATCCCCTGCTATGTTAATAGCTTGCTAGACCCTGCAAGAGCCTCCTGTATGTGATTAAAGTTCAATTTAGAGATTGAGATACAATTATTTAAGGTAAATTACATCTGTTTGAAAGTGAAACCAGTTTTTTTTTTCATGCAGGCTCTGTCAATCATAGCCAGGGGAGGTGTGGCTAGGGCTGCATAAACAGAAACAAAGTGATTTAACTCCTACATGACAGTGAATTAAGCAGTGAAATTGCAGGGGAATGATCTATACACTAAAACTGCTTTATTTAGCTAAAGTAATTTAGGTGACTATAGTGTTCCTTTAAGAGTATTTCAAGTGCTCAATGGTCTAAAAAGAGCAGTACCTTCCATACATGTAGATATTGAGGAGTGTTGTGCATCTATATGTTTAATGTAGTAAACAAAATCTGTATTTTAGAGTTTAAAGATCTGATTCCCCCCCCCAGATTCTGGATGTCAGGGCTGAGTTTAGCAGTGGGCTATTACTACCTCAAGTTTAACTGCAACATGCAGTTTTAGCACACATTTTTTTTCTTATGGCTGCCTTGACACAGCCAGACCTGCCATGCAAGAGACTGTAAGGCCCCATTCTGCAGTGAGGGTACTTGCGTGCATGTCACACTATCATGCATGCGCATATTCTGCATTCTCATCAGATATATGAATTTTTCTAGAGCATCATGGGTAATAGTGTCGCTCGGAATACAGAACTGCTGCGTACATAAGTTTTTTTTAATTTGTACCTCTGTTATACTGCTCAACCCAGTAAGGATTTCAGTAAAATTCACTGGGGTGAAGGCAAGAGAAGCTATCACTTTCAGGGGAGACTAAGCAAAATCTCGCTATGGGTTCGTGCAGAAATATAGGGGTGTAAAAATGCTTATACCCTGCATTGTAGGCTTGCAGGATAATTCTGTAACTTTTGAGTCCATTCACCCCTCCAGCTGTTAAGCTAAAATGAATACTTTACCTCAAGGCACGATAACGTCTATTAAACAGTCTTTAGTCTTTCATCTTTCCATAAACCTACAGTGTTTTCACACTTGACTAATGATGTTTGGTTGTCGAGAAACCACGTATCATAGACCTCGACACTACTTATTAATTCTTTTATTTGTTCTCCTCAGGTAAATTTGAAGACAAAGAAGATCGTGTGCCAAAGTTGGATCAGCTGAATAGCCTGGGGTGCATGACCAACATGAATTTGGTGCTAACTAAACAGAATCTACTTCACATGGAGCTTCTGCTGCTAGAAACCTTCGAGTGGAACTTGTGCCTCCCAACGCCAGCCCATTTTATTGAATACTACTTGTCCATTGCTGTTCAGGATACTGACCTCCATGATGGCTGGCCCATGATCTGTCTAGAGAAGACAAAGATCTATATGGCAAAATATGCTGATTACTTTCTAGAAGTTTCTTTGCAAGGTACATCCACCTTGGCATTGTTATTATGTTGAGGATTTGTTTTTGTTTTGTTTTTCTCCTGTGCTTTAGATCTTATTGTTGGCTTTCCTTTTTTTTTTGCAGATCACGTGTTTTTAAATTACGTTCCATCGCTCGTGGCAGCTGCTTGCATAGCGGCGTCTAGGATTATCCTGCGACTTTCGCCATCCTGGCCCTCAAGGTTAAATCGCCTTACTGTGTATACTTGGGAAATCCTTGTGCCTTGCATCGAGAGGCTACTGGTGTAAGTACCATCGAATTTGTGAGGCATAATTGATTTAATATAATTCTTGTACGTTTAGGTTTTTTTGGGGGGGGAGAAGCGGGGGTTATTGTTTTTTAAAGTGGTCTGGTTTTAACGCATATGGACACATTGTAATATTGATCAAGGGTCATTATAGAGCATGAGGTCTGGGAATGAGATGAGCACACATAGATGAAAAGGAGGAGGAGAAATGATTTTGTGTGTGGGGGGAGGCCTGGGTGGTTGTTTTTTTTTGTTTGTTTTTTTTTGTGTGGTTTTTTTATTTTTTTTTTATTTATTTTTTTATGTAGTAGAGGGAAATTTAAAAGTATTCTGAGTTGCAAGTGTATTGCCTAGTTTCGTTATGGTTAATTGTCTAAATCTATTTGTCTTGCAAGTTGTTGTATTTGTCTGCTGTCCCATTCGTTTGGAAGAGGGGTTTACCTTAAAGGCACACTGCACTGTAGACATCATATCCGCTTTCTCTTTGAAGCAGTTATGGTGCCTGGATCTCCCTAATGTCATCCCACTGTTCACGTGCATTCCCTCCACACCCCCCAAACTTTTCTGCAAATGCCTTTTTCAAGGGACAAACAGGGAGTGTCCAAGCTAAGGAATATTTGCCACTTGCCATCACATTCTTAACAGGACACTGTTACTACCATGATTTGTTATGTTTTGTGTACTTATCCCTATATTTAACTAATATGTATTTGTGATGTATCAAAAACTAAACTTTAAATGTAGAAATTCCGACCCCATTATCTGGCAACGGGCACCTCCATCTTAACTCCTCGGCATTCATTGTTTTATAAGCTCTGTCCTTTGCACCTTGTTGTCAGCAAAAAAGGAAAGCAGACGAAGAAATGTTTGTTCTCTTCAGTTAAAATGTTTGTCTTGCACTTTATAAACTGATTTTATAATGTCATTTGCTTAGTCTTTAATATAAATTGGATTAAATACAGCCCAAACACAAGTTATAGATGTTTTTTCAGTGACTGTTCTCCTTTTAAATGCAACTTTTTCAGCATGGTACCTCTGGCACTGTTTATCCTTTAATATACCTATGGTAACTATCCTGTTCTGTTATCCCTGTGCATACTCACGCCTTATTTACAGGGCAACTTATACAAACAGCCATACTGCAAACCATTATCCATTTTAATGTTAATCCTCACGTTAGGTGAATGTGTCTGTCTTTTCAAATTTTTTTTCCCTGGATAACTCTTGATTGTTGTTTTAAAGGGGAGAGATTTTAGTCTCTGCAACATCTGGTGCTTAAGGGGTTAAAAATGCATATCTGGTTTTATAGTGTTTTTCCTCTTTAACTCCCACTAAGATTCTTAGAAACACAGCTTTGCGCTTTCAAGACCTCCAGGGTCTTGTTTAAACCGTCTTTCCATGTTTCTCCAGTCCCTTTTGTAATGTACTCTGCAACCCGCGCTGCAGAACAGTGTGAATCCAAAAACAGGAGGAGGCTCCATAGCTGGGGCAGATGGATAATCAAAACGACACCCACAGGATGCTAACTTCTCAGATTTCTGTGTGCTCCACACACACGCTGTATTAAATGTCTGTACTACATCTGGGTATACAGCTACCCTTTCACTGCGACAGCAGCATCTGTTTTCACATTGCGCTCTTTCTGAGCGAGTGCACTAGGTTTGAAGGCTGGGTGGAACGATGGCACAGTCTTTGTATCAGCACTCCCAGATTGAAAGAACCGTGGAAGCATTTAATGCTACGGTTAATGCTTTCATGTTGCCCTGGTTAGAAAATGTCAATATTCAGCGTATTTTTATACCTGGCATACAAAGGCCCAAGATACCGCATCGATTCCTGCCTAAATGAATATGAGTAACTACTTGAATTTCTAGAATCTTTCCTATAGCAATGCAAGTATTGCACGCAGCATTTATGTATAAAATATATAGATTTCTGCTAAATTCTAAATGTAGAACAATAAGCAGGAATGTTCCATTGGTTTCCATGGCGATTGCTCTACATCTAGAAGCTCCAGAATGCCTCTCTAGACGTAACCCCTGTAGAATCTTGGAATCGCAGCATATACAGGTTGTCAGTGGACAGAGCTTGGCTCCAGACTGAAAATTAAGTTATTTTGGTGCCTAAATTTGGGGCTTTCCTGTTCCCTTTAGAAAAAGTTAATAGGAGAATCACCATAGATCTATTAAGTCTATGATGGCCATGAAGCATACTTTTTTTTTTTTTTTTTTTTAAATAAATAAACCCATTCAGGATCTTGCAATAACATTTCCTATATTCTGCCCTGAAGGTCCGAATATCATGTGGACTTTGTAGTTATTTTTGTGTTTTTGTTTTTTCTTTCTTTTTCTGTATATAGTATAAAGACACCAAAAATATTTAGCGATTTTAATACTTACACAGTACAAATCGCCAGACTGTACAAATCGCCAAATTCCATTTATTATTGTGCATACATTTTTATTTTATTTTTTTTTTTTCATTTTACTAGTGTTTTCAGTGAGTTTTGTTTATTTTGGAGCTATATTGGATACATACAAACCTATAGATTGTTTTGTTTCATCCAATAGCTGTAGGATATACAAAGTATTTTCACATCTACTTACCAATGAGGTAATTAAAATATGCCAAATATGACCCTTGTAAATTTTATCTTTCAGTGCTCATGACGGTGATGTCAAGGAAGCTAACAAGCATAAGGTACAACTGGGACATGCAGCAACGCAGTGTCTCTTTCCTCCTCCGTCCCCTGCGCCTCCACAGTCGCATGTGCAACAGCACATCCCGCAATATCTGCAGTCTCAGCCTTCGCACCAGCTGCCGTTTCACCACCCAACACCTCAGCAGCAAAGCTGTCCACAGATTGTATCAACCGCCCATTCATCAACATTTCCATTGCAAACCTGTATATCCAGTAACCCACCCACCATCCAGGCCCGGGGTCACATACAGACTGCTGGCAGCATGTCGTTAGCTACTGTACCAATAGAAGTGAAGCCTTGCATAGGCATTTCATACAATAGGAGCTACCAAGTGAACGGACACTACCCCTGCATTACACAATGTTTCGATAGGTGATAACAGCAAATGTGAAAACGGAACTAACTGCCGATCAATACATACTGTGAATGCGAAAGTCAAGTTGGAAATTATTTTTTTTATTTTATTTTTTTTCTTCCTTATTTTTATTTTTTTATGTTTCCAGAAGTATATCTTAAAGATGCCACAAAGTGTCTGTTACAAAAAGATGATGAATCTGGATTTATACTACATTATATTATTCTAGAACCAAACCACTTTTTGTGCTGCTAGAGTGCAGAACGTCTGGCCTATAAAAGGTTAAATCAGGGAAATTCGTGTGTTACACAACATGGCTTCTTTCTATGAAGGACATTTGCAGTATTAATTGTGTACATTGTACTGTGGTTAGCGTATGTTATAGCGGGTTACATTCAAATGCTCCACAACTAATGTTCTTGGAGGTGCCATTAAAGTAAAACAAAAAAATGTTTTTGCTTTAATGGAAGCAAAAGTTTATTTCTAAAAAGCATTTTGGAAGGTGTTTTGTTTTTTATATAATTATTATTATTTTTTTCTTCTTCTTTGTCTCTCACCCCATCACCCTTCCCTTCTCTTCTTCCATATTTGCTTCCTGCTGAAATACACTGGTAGATGCCCTAGGGTAATTAAACAACCCAGGTTGGATTTCAACCACTTCTCCCTTTTGAGGGCAAATTTGTAATTGAACTGTCACAAGTAGGTTAATTATTTTAAAAAATAATCTGCCCTGCATGCAAATGGCAAGCTGCAAAGTGTGTTGTGCAGGCTCACTCATAGAAAACTATAAGGGTACCAGTACTATCTCTTTGGACATGATGTGCGTACACATTTTAAGACTTTGTACTGGCCATGGGAAAGCTATGATTTCAGATTGCGGGGTAGTAGGCTTTAGTACAATAATCTGAACTGAAGAGCCAAGGTTGTTATGGTGGATTTCCCTTTTAAGGACAGGATATTCAAATTGTACCATGATATGTCATTGGTCCTTAGTTTAAAAAAAAAAAAAAATGCTTGCCATATTTTTCCAAATTCCAAAATGCATTTTTAAAAGTGGCTTTTGGTTCTATAACGTTGAAATGTATGTCTGTAAATGTAAAATCTAGGGGTTCAATCACTGCAGCTTTGTGTAATTATAATCTATACAGGTGAATACTTATTAACCGTGATGTTCTAATTCAATTTATACCTCACCGGAAATATTTCTGAGGAAATAAAGCAATAATTCCATACTAACTCAGGGAAATAATCAATAATATATATCCATCATGCTGCTGGTGTATATTTAACATAGGGTTCGACGTGTTAAGAGTCGCTTCTATTAGCTAAGGTCTAATTTTATATTGTACAGCATTCCTAAAAATGTATAACCTTCAACAATTAACCCAGCATTTAAATTTTAGTTCTTTTTAGAGAATGTGGTGATCTTTATTCATTTTGTTGAGAGGGGGTTAAATGTGACTCGGGGAAAGCATACCCAAACCTCTTGGTAGTAAGTGGGGTTTTTTTTTTGTTTGTTTTTTGTATAGGTAGGGAATATAATACTGTACTTTAGATTAATGTATATACCTATATAACATGTTAATTACATTTACAGGCATAATGACACAGAATCGTATCATTGATTTGGCCTTATCTAGTACAGTTTGCAATTTGCTACAATTGGTTAAAAAAAAAAAAAGTTGTTTCCATTCCATGTTACCCTTTGTTCTATTTTAAATTTAGGAATGGATCTAGACTAGTAGAATTGGATTGGAAGTCCTAAAGTCACAGGGATATATTTTATACCCCCTCTCTGTCTTGGTAGTGTTTAGTTTTATGTTTGGTTTTTTTGTTCTTAACTTTTTTTGAAATTGATGATCCTTTATACAGTAACGTTTTAGAAAGCTTATGTACAATTCGGTAGCGCCAGAACAAAGTGGGTAACTGATTTTTGTGTTCGTAGCATTCCATATGATGACTTTATAAAATTCTTTCTTTAACTACCTCATAATAATAACCATAGTCTGTCCGATTTTTAGAGATGACAACTTGAATTTCAACTGACCTGTGAGCCAACTTCTTTTTTTTTTTTTTCAATGCAGCAGAGGTAGTGTTATTGTTTGTTTTTATTTTTTTAAATTTTGGGGTTTTTTTTGTAATGCTTGAGCAACAGGAACATTGTTACCTAAGAGCAAATTGCGAACACTGGAATTGTTCTTTTGAGGAGAGGATTTAAAGCAATTGGGGGAAAAGAAATGTATGGATTTGATGTCTTCCATACATTGCTACTGTACATGTTCCATCTTCATTTGTGGGTTTTTTGTTTTTTCAATATAGGCAGTAAGAACCAACTTGAATACACTATGGGGGCACTGTTAATGGTGCGCAATTCGGGGCCGAGTGGAGCAATCAATGTGAGCGTCTCAGTTTTTACGGCGATTGCTCTAGTTTTACAACATTTCCCGATATTGGCCCCTTATGTTTTATTTATTGTGTAGATTTGCCTTCTTTTGTGTAACTACATGATCATGATTTAAACAGCCAAAGGTATGTGTGCACTGTGATCTGTTACAGCTGTTCAAAAAAGGATGATGTTACCACATATTATGAGAACTGTTTCAAAGCAGAAGCCAAAATGTTGTGGACTTTTCATCAGAATATATGGAAAATTGCCCAATTTTGCCACAACTGAGATTTCTGAATGAGTGCTATGCACTTCATTTTTAATAAACCTTTTCTTTGCTTAAATACTGTGTGGTTTTATTTTGTTAATTTTATATGGCATACTGTTTAACTTGTCTATTTGTTTTCGCCAAAGTATAAACTTAATAGAGCACTTGCTCTGAAAGGATCATTTATATTTCCGTCAGGGTAATTTTATTATAATTTTGTATAGCGCACCAATTTTTTTTTCCCAGCATTTTACATTTCTAGAATATATTTTACAGCAAGCAATTGAAGTACACAATTATAGTGACACAGGTAATAGGTGAAGAACAACCTAGCAATCTTGGAATAAAGTGAGAATTGCCAGGATTTAAAATAAACTTCAAAATTAATAGGACATTATAGGCACCCAGACCACTTCATCTCATTGAAGTCGTCTGGCTGCAGTGTTCCTGCACCACTTAGCAGTGCAATGTAAAACATTGATGTTTTAAAGAAACATGCAGGGCTGTGCTTATTGACTTGGTGTCGCCTGAGCTCTGGGACCGACCCTGGTGTGCTGGGAGAGCACAACACAAACTGGGGGATACCTATCAAAGATTATTTGTCATATAAACTCTAATAATGAGCTGTAGTGGTTATGGTGCTTAGTGTCCCTACATCCCTCTCCCCCTGCACCCATTGTGAAGCATAGTTCTAGAAAAGAAAGAAGCAAGGATAAACTGGACATCAATCTTAAGTGGCACCTTATTTGAATTTTTAAGGATTGGAGTGAAGGAAGGTAATTGAATAATGTAAAAGGGACAGAAAAAAAAAAATACATTAGTGAATGGGCCTGACTGCCATACTGCACAGATACATCAGGGCTGAGCTGTATGAAGATGTCCTATAAATTCTTATTCAATCATAAGAAATCCCAGGTATTTAACCTTGAGAGACTCTTGGCAAGCTTGCTCAACATAACGCGACACTGGCACCGGCCTCTTTGGCAGTACAAGAGCGAGACGGCGTACCCAAGGGTCCGGGTGTGAAAGAGCGAGCCGACATTTTCACCCAGAGTCTGTCTCTGTCTCTCTCTTCACTTTTTTTTTTTTTTTTTATATGTATACAAGATGAATATTTTTTTTTTTTAAACTCTGAGGGGATGAGCTGTGTTTTGTGTAGATGCGGGGTGGCTGTAAGTGTTTGTAGCTGTCTGTGTGTGATCTGTGAGTACCATTCATTGTGAAGCTGCATTCTTAGTGAGCTGTCTGGGAGGGAGGGTCTGCTGCTTATTGGCTGGAATGTGTCTGCTGACTGTGAGGTACAGGGTCAAAGTTTACTCAATAACGAGTCCGCGGTGAACCGTTCGGGACATCACTAGTTGTGAGTGATATGTGTGTGCGCAGTAGAGGGAGGCATCAGTTAGTTATACAAGTAGGTGAGTCTTGGAGAAATAAGTGGATGTGGTAGGGTAAGGAAGAGTAGATGGGTGAGCATTTTGGAAGGCAGGAGTAGGAGAGGAGGAGCAGAGAGGGATGGGTGATTAGATGAAGACAGGGATCCACATATGAAAAAAATATTTCTGTGGTGCTCTGTGAATTGTTTTAATACATTTTATCACAATTAAAAATAAAAACCCTGCTGCCTTGCCTTGGTGGTGTAGCAGGGGATGGACTATATTCAGAGTCTGATTTAAGGCTTCCCTGGGCCCAAGGCAAGGTGCCAGATTGAGCCCACCCTCCCCCAGGGTTTGAGGGTAGGTGTGACAGTGTGGGGGTAGTTGTGAGAGAGGGGGAGTGATTATGACAGGCTGAGGGTTGGTGAGTGTGACAAGGTTGGGGTTATATTCTCTCTCAAATTTTATCTGATCTATAACTTTCCTTTACCGGTATTTCTATAAGAAAGGGATTGTATTAACCACATAAAATGCCATTGGACAATTGCTAATGGGGATAATCTATTTTCTATTTTATGAGACTAATTGAAACAAACTGACAAATATTATGCAAAATTGTGATCCTACTGCTTTGTACTGACAACCTGTATTTCTCTATATGTTGTAATCTATCAAAACTATAACCATAAATATTGCAAAAAAAAAACAAAAACTATATTTACAAAAAAATACGATGAAACACAGGTTGCAAATGTTTCTCTATGAGAAAATATCAGAATAGACAGAGCAGCTAGAGCTAGTAGACTGTGAAGCATTATAGGCAAATTTAAGGTGTTTCTTTATATTCTGATTTTATTTTAAAGGGACACTATAGTCACCCAAACCACTTCAGCTCAATGAAGTGGTCTGGGTGCCAGGTCCCTCAGGCTTTAAGCCTTCAGATGTAAACATAGCAGTTTCAGAGAAACTGCTATGTTTACATTAGGGGTTAAGCCAACCTCTAGTGGCTGTCATCCTGACAGCCGCTAGAGGCGCACATGCGATGCTGGATGCGAATTTCGCATCCATCGCGCAAAGCGTCCATAGGAAAGCATTGAGAAATGCTTTCCTATAGACTGTTAGAATGCGCATTCCGCTCCACTCGGGAGCTGACGGTGGGGGAGGAGAGGTCACTGGCGCTGGATTAAGGTAAACTGCTGAAGGGGTTTTAAACCCTTCAGCGCCACGGGAGGGGGACCCTGAGGGTGAGGATCCCCCAAGGATGACATAGTGTCAGGAAAACCGCTTTGTTTTCCTGACACTATAGTGATCCTTTAAAGATGGGAACACATCTAACTCATTTCAAAATATGTTCTTTTTAGAGTATCTTTAAACGTTACCATTAGTATTATTTCTGTAAATAAGAGTAATTTCCTTTAGAATTGTTTATTTTGTTTCCAATTACCTCCTAGATGGACCATGGTATGCATTACAAAGTATTTTTTTGTTTGTTTTGGTTTTTTTCATCATTAAAGGATCACTATAGTGTCAGGAAAACAAACTTGTTTTCCTGACATTATATCATCCTTAGGTCCCCCCCCACCCTCCCTTGGTGCTGAAAGTGTTAAAGCTCCTTCAGCTACTTACTTTAATCCAGCATCGGGCTCCCTCGGCACTGGTGACCTCTCCTCCCACTCCAACGTCGGCTCCCGAGTGGAGTAGAATGCGCATGTGCAGCAAGAGCAGCGCGTGCATTCAAACAATGCTTTCCTATGGACGTTCTGCATGGTGGATGCGATTTTCGCATTGAGTGTTGTGGAAGCACCTCTAGCGTCTGTCAGGAAGACAGTCACTAGAGGTTGGATTAACCCTGCAATGTAAACATAGCAGTTTCTCTGAAACTGCTATGTTTACATATGAAGTATTGAAACCTGGGGGACCTGGCACCCAGGCCACTTCATTGAGCTGAAGTGGTCTGGGTGACTATAATGTCCCTTTAAATCTCTTAATTATTATTATTGTTAATTATAATTATTGTAGAATGTAGAGCTACTAAATTTGCATTGTTTCAACCTTTCATCTGCAATATTTAAGCCCTTAGCATGTATTGTACATATGTCGATTTATTTTCATTTTTATTTTTTTCTAAATTGTTCTATAGGACACCCCACTTGCCTCCAATATATGACCAAAAAAAACAATGCATTGTTAAAATCTCCTAGTCACACACCATCCCCACTGTAAGCTTAGTGCTTTGTTTCTACTCTGAAAATTGATCTACTAAGCACTCGCATCCTTCTACATTTAGACTATTTTCAAAAGACATTTGCAAAAAGGAATATCCTGTCACAAATCACAGGGTTAAACTCGAGCAGCTTTTAGTTGGACTAAGGAATTAATGCCAGCTTTGTAGCTAATTTATAGCATTTCACATCTATATTTTTAAACTAACTTGGGGATTCCTTTTATTTATTTAGAAAACTAACGTTTCACAGTATGTGTTATGAAGCCAAATGGTAGATACTCTTTTAACCCCTTAAGGACACATGACATGTGTGACATGTCATGATTCCCTTTTATTCCAGAAGTTTGGTCCTTAAGGGGTTAAATATATAATTACTAATAAAACTAATTGTACATCATCTGACATTAAAAGTTGTGTGCCTTCGTGATGATTAAAATTTCACATTTTAAATCATTTTAATTTTAGTTCAAAATTGCGGCAAAGTAATGAAATGGTTTAGAATGCAGAATACCATTTTGAAATGTTACCTTGTTTAGTTTGTGATGGAGCACATACAGCATTTATGAGGATCGAAGCTTGGTTGGAATTACATGACCATAAACAAACTTGAAAATATTTTGCTTTAAATATTGCGCAAATAATTTAAGTACCATAACAACCTATGACCACTACTTGCACTATGGGCCCCTGTCATTGTGTGCCTGCATATACATGTTTATAACTGCAGCTATTTGCAGAAATTTATGTGGTTATGAAGACTGCACACTGTGCCTCTGATCTCAGAGGAGGAAGATTTTCTTATTTATTTGACTTCCAAACCTTTCTGAATTCTATAAACATGATGGCTACCAGCCTAGCCTTAGTTGTGCACATGCATGTTGGGAAGCCTCATAGAAAATTGTGCACCGTTTGTACACAAAACTCTGAACAGGTTTATCAAAAAACAAATCTCAGCCATACAGTGCTTCCACTCTGTGTATTTGGCAATAATAATCATCAGAACTGATGATGGTAAACCATGGTGGTTTCTAGCCTGTAATACTGTCCCGTACACCAACATGAGAGGCTACTTGGACTAGTATAGTGTATACAGGTACTTTAATGCTTTAAAGGGACACTATAGTCACCAAAACAACTTTAGCTTGATGAAGCAATCTTGGTGTATAGATCATGCCCCTGTAGTCTCACTGCTCAATTCTCTGTCATTTAGGAGTTAAATCACGTTGTTTATGCAGCCCTAGCCACACCTCCTGCACATGACTTGCAAGCTTTCCTAAAAAAAACCACTTCCTGTAAAGAGTCATCTAATGTTTATACTTCCTTTATTGCAAATTATGTTTAATTTAGAATTTCTTATCTCCTGCTATGTTAATAGCTTGCTAGATCCTGCAGGAGCCACCTGTATGTGATTAAAGTTACATTTACAGAGCAGTTGATAAACATTTAAAGTTAGTTAAGATATGGTTGAAAAGGAAGCCA